TTTTTTTCATAAATTCTTATTAAATTGTTATTAAAATGCGTTTGCATCGACATTTATTGAAACCATAACCATTTGTTTTACGGTTGATTAACATGGTTTTTGTGAACCCAGCTTCCGCGAATTCGATTGAAAATTCAATTCTATCGCGATATGCACAAATCGCAAAAATATAGATTCCAATTTGGCCTTTGCATCAATTGACAGATTCTAAGAAGATTAATTACGTTTGAAATGAATTAGCGAAAAATAAACGCAGAAGAGGTGAAAAGAGAGAGAAGATAAAAAAATTGTCGCTCGTCAAACAATAGAGGTCACATATTTTCTAGTTGCTTTCAATAAATTGAATTATCAAACTTCCGTTTTGTATATGTGTGTATGTAATTTATATCGAAGTACGTTGTAAGCGCGCGAATACAATTTGATACATTGCATTTGCATTGACACCGATCCAAAGTGTTTCAATGGCTTTTCACCGATGTAAGTTTACCGTACTAACATAAATACTAAATAGACAAACGAGATAAATACTAAATAGACAAAAAAAACATTTAAAAAGGATCTATCGATGTGTAAATATATATGTGTGTGTGTGTGTGTGTGAGAGAGAGAGAGAGTGTGTGTGTGTGTGTGTGTGTGTGTGTGAATAGTTTTTTCAGTCTCTTGCTCGGTACATTGTTTTGCTGTGTATGACTGTTTTGAAAATGTGCTTGTGTTGTTTTTTCTTCTTCTTCTGTTGTTATTGGAAAACAGCAGATGTTTCACTTAAATATTTCATTGCGTGCATCTGTGTATAAGTGGCTGCTTGTGTTGATGAATTGAACTATTTGGTGTTTACGAGTATGTGCAATGTGCAATGTGCAAAGATCTCTCGAACTACAACCTAATGCCACGAAATAACATCACATTTCGCGATTTTTTACAAATCAAGAGCGGCCCAAATTCAACTATGCTAACATTGGCCAAATTTTCGTTTCGCATACCAGCCAGCCATTTTGAAATTATGGATTTGTTTTTTTCCAAACACAAAATATGCAACCATTGTGTGAAATATGAAAATATCTGTAATAAAATTGCGCACACAATTCTGACAGACAAAACCGTTCACATGGCATAACAATCTCTCTTTTGCATTCAATTGGCATATAAACGCACAGCGCGCATATTGCATATGCGAATTTCTCGACATTTAAAAGCATTAAAATTAGAGCATGATGTCAAAATGCGCGATTACAAACATGTTTATGATGATTTTTTGCAACGAATTTGTGCGTACATTTTTGCGCTTGAAAAAATCGAAAGAAACACAATAAAAACAAGAAATTAAAATCAACGCAAATGATCAAATTATTATTATATTACGCGTGCCAAAAAATTATTTTATTCCGCCTTATAATTATCGAAAATTATTTAATTAGAGCAACTAATAACACAAATAAAATATGCACACACTCACCCATTGAATGAAAAAAACTGCGAAATTTTATTCATGTAAATGTCTTATTCGGCATCAACGCAATTCTCTTTTAATTGAATGGGGTAGAATAAAAACTACTTCTCGAAAAATGTTTAAACACGAAACCTAAAAAAAACTTTCAATGAAAAGTGAATCAATTTTTTTTCGTCCAATTGAAGTGAACCAAAAAAAATTTGTTCAATAAAAGTGAACCCAAAAAAAAAATTCATTTTAGTGTATTTTACACTGAAAAAACCGAGTGAAATTTTTTTTTGGTTCACTTTTATTGAACAAAATTTTCTTGATTCACTTCAATTGGACAAAAAAAAATTGATTAACTTTTTATTGAAAATTTTTTTAGGTTTCGTTTTAAAATAGCAATTTTTCGAGAAGTAGTTTTTATTCTACCCCATTCAATTGTATATATATGTACAGTGCCGTCAGAAAATTTGAGATCAAGCTCATTTTTTTCATACAATTTTATACAAATTGACGATTTTTTGGAGCAATATTTAATATATTTCGGAAATAGCTACTACTAAATAGACACATTTTGTATGAAAAATAATCCTTTTTCACACTTGAAAGTACAAACATCGGATATTTTTTAAACGCGTAGATATGTTTTGGTAAAACTTCACTAGTTTACTCTCCGTAAATAGAACAATAAGTGTGCAAAAAATTATGAGTCTAGCTCTTTCTGAAATATATTAAATATTGCTCCAAAAAATCGTCAATTTGTATGAAATTGTATGACATTTTTTTGCTTGGTCTCAAACTTTCTGACGGCACTGTATGCATTTTTTTGTACAAATGAATTTGTACGAAAAAAATTAAAAAGGCAATGAACATGACTCAATTAGATATGTATTCCGTGTGTCCACTGTCCACACTGTTCAATGATATGCCAATGAATTAAGACGTACACAGTTTCTTTTTTTTTGGAATTTAAACAAACACCGTTGTCAATATATACATTTTTTTGTGAATTTCAATTGATTGCACAATAAAAGTCTTCGGTTTGTTTTAACATAAACATCGGTTTTAATCTTTCATTGAATCGATAGCACGACCTTAACGCACTTCTTTCAAGTAATAAATTCGCAATTTTGTTGTTGTTGTATTTTAATTTCTTTTTAATCTTAATTTTGTTACACAATACAAAAGGCAGCCAATATGAGCACCAAAGCGCAAAAACAAAGTAGCAGAAGTCGACGTCAACACGTTTAATTTGAGGCGGGCTATGTGTGTTATTTTCGCCAACTGTATTTTCGTCCATAGCGCATCGTGACTTCTATCGTTAACACAAAACATTAACAACAAATTCAAGCACCTTGTTTGGCAATTATATGTTGTTCGTAATTTTTTTTTTATACGCATATTTAAAAGCGATCAAGATAAACAAAGCTGTTTTATTATGGCCACCATCGACCAGAAGATCGGCATTTTTTGCACTTCTCTCGAACTGAGAATAGGAGGGCACATATCACGCACGTTCACACCGATCATCATTCCATCATCAGTGTCCAGTGATTGTTTTTTTTTCGGTGAACAAAATAAAATTGTAATTGATTTGAAGTATTTCAGTCATTATGAGCACTATATTGATGTGTCTGAATGATTTTCACAATTAATCGCCGGCTGATTCTGCTTTGCTCTCTCTCTCCCTCTCTCGTGCTCTCCGTAGTTTATATTCATTCATTCATTAAAGGATAATCAATGAGCTGCTTGATGGGAAAACTATGCAAATTTTCGTTTCGTTCGGTTTGCCAATCAAATTATGGACTCTTGCAACTTGAATTTAAACACACTCATTATTCAAACGTTTGCATGAAAAAAAATTATTAATTCAGTCGAATTATAGTATAAAGTGGAAACTATCATTTGCAGTCCGTTTTGTTGATGATGTGTCTAAAAATCAAGAACCAAATACCTGGAGCGACCAATTCATTGCAAAACAGATTGGTAAATAAATGTGTACGTAACACTGTGACGAAAGAAGAAGAAGAGAAGAAAAAAAAACAAGGAGAAGAAGAAGATCGTATCGAAATTGGTATGGTTTTTATTGTAAAAATAAAAATGCATCTGCGCATCGTGCTAAAATCTGACAATTAAAGCACATGCACACACATCGAATCTATAAAGTTGAATAAAACGGCAATGCACATAGTTTGCTGATGCTGTTTCGCTCGGCTGCTTTGACAGCAGCAGGCTTCGTTCAGATTAACAGATATTGTGCATTGATTTCAATTGGAAATAAATGGTCGCAAAATAGAAACCGAAACGAAGGTAGAAAAATGGTTGTTGTTTTTTGTCAAAGCATTCGAATTTTGTATTCTATGCGGTAGACGAAAAGACATGAGATAAAAATGATCTACTGGATTGGATGTGTGCGTGCATATGCATTGCTGGAATAACTGGGAATTATTTTTTTTTTTTAGATGAATGATGAAGCGCAGAAAATTAAATAAACAAATGAAACCCGAAACCATGCATCGAGAAATTGCAATGGACGCTTTATTTATTTCATCTCTCTATTATTCTTTCTCATCACAAATAAAAACATTGAGAATGATTTTAAAAAAACCGACGCAAAATATATTCAGAAATATGAATGCACAATTTAAATTAAAGCCGATTAATTAAATTATATATTAACGCACGGGGGTAACGTGTTATGCATACGATGAATTCGAGCGGAATGTCCAGTTTGAGTTCGGGTCTTATAGCTTGATATCATCATGCATGCCGGTGTATTCAACGGGTTTCAATATATAAATAATAAAACTGTTTAACATTGCATTCAATGCAATTTTCACTCAGTTATTTAACATCGTTACCAATGTTCCAACGACATGTCGACCAAGTCCAAAAAAAATGTGAGATAAACATTGTTGAACATGGTTGAAGAAAAAAAAACGTGGCTTTGAATAATCGTGTTTAGGCTATGGATCGGCTGCGAATCTCCGTACTACCAACGTAATTAACGTTATTTGCATTTGATTCGGAGTCTCCGTATACAAGCCTCTATATCCAACCAACAACAACAAAAAACACCAGCTTAATTTTTCGCAAATTTATTCCTTGACTCCGTTTTCTTGATTATTTTCGTTCTTTCGAGAGATCTCTCTCTCTCTCTCTCTTTGTTTGTTATTCAAATCAAGTAGATTAGCTACACAAGCATGTATTTCTGCAACGCGATAATAATTGTTTTACGATTAAGTATTAAGTAATTGCTCATCATTGTTGTTTGTATGCATGGATCGCACCATAATAAGTCGGGCAAATTTTTTATGTAAAGAGAAGAAAAAAAAACACATCGTTCGTTTTAGCGTGCGGATCGCGGCCATCACGGGGCAAACAAAATTATGCGCATTTTGCTGTTATCGCTTGAATGGTGAGAAATTAATTGATAATTAAATAAATTTGAATAACAGTAGAGAGAGAGAGAGAGATACATCCTAAGAAAATAATGAAAAATAAAACGCATAAATGCATAATAAAAAATTCGGTGCCAACCAAAAACAATAAGAAAAATCAACTACTATTTATTTATTCAAAGCGTCTGCTTTATTTTTTATATCGCTCGTTTTCATTCAATTGATTTTTTTTCTTTCCGTTGTGTGTTTCATAAAAAACTAGTGCTAACTTAATTTTTAACAATGTGAAATTGGATCAAATGGATTTTATAAATTAATTATTCGTTCTAGGATTGGCTTGCGTACAGCGACCGCGAGTGTGTGTTTGTATATGATTGCGTTATGAATTATCATCGGACATTCAGAATGAATGATGGTGACGGTGAAGTTTTTGCATTACGAGGTCGCATTGTGACTACTATGTTGGGCCAACTATCGTACACGCACAACAGCTTGGAAACCAAAAAGTATCCGTATATAGATTCGTACCTAGGGGAGAATCGCAAAAGAAAAGAATAGAAATAATCGAAATAGAATCAATAATATTCAAAAATAGAAAAGCAATTTTTAAGTGAATTGCCCCTAGTCCGTACCATCGGCATTCAATGCAATCAATCGCTTCTGCACATACTTTTGTTCACATCTCGATGAATAGCCATTCGGAAGTTGGCAAATGTTTGAACAAACGCTCGATCTAAGCGAAACGATAAAAAAAAGAAACGCTGAAGAAAAAAAATTCACCCAGGATGTGATGCATTTTTAACTTACGCGCACGTTTCCGTTCGCACCAATTGTCGAGTTGTGTCGACCTGATTCACAACATACATCCATTGTCCTGTGTGTTTGTATGTTTGAATAGAGCAAAAGAGAAAAACTTGGATTATTTGATCGATTTTTTTTAAATTCAAAAATGATATATACCTTGACTATTTAAAGCTGCCTGCGGTGTAACATATTGATAGGTCGTTTGACACAATTGTTCTCTTCCGGTACTTTGACGTTTCGTTCGACGATTGGTGTATCGATCATTTAATTCGCTCAACGTGAGTTGATTCGATGAAGATCGTTGTGCAGTATTTATGTATGATGGACGGGTTGCTTCTACGGTTGAATTCTTTGAAAAATACTGTGAAGTTTTTGAGTGCGCAGACACATCGCGAGCATATCTTAAAAAATTTAAAATAAAATTCATTAAATTTCATTTTAAACAAAATTTGCGTTTTTTTTAAATGTAGATGTAAATAGAGATGTTTTTGAATGTAGAACAGTAACCAATGTATTAGTGCGTCGTTCTTACCGTTTAAACCATTTTGCCGGCTGGTATTCGGTCATATGGGAATTTGAACGATAATAGCCAGACATAGAGTTTTGTGTCGGGTGCTGAGGCTGAGGCTGAAACCGATACGGTTCGCTCAGTATATGATTATTGTTGTGTGTCGGTCTTTGTGTGTCGGTGACAGCATGTGTTTATGTGTGTATGTGTGTGTTTAGTACGTCAAAAAAAAATACCCCAGGTGAAATAAAATTGAAACAAAAACAACAATTTATCAATTTTGCGGAACAAAAACAAAAATTAAACCAAAATTAAATTTATCCATTGAATTTATACAAAAATATGTCTGTGGTCATTGAAATAATAAGACACGATAACGAAACGCAAAAATTCACTTTAATTAAGACTCATTTTCATTGAAGTAACACTTTGACAGAAACCGACCACATTTACACGTAAAGCACAATTTTTTGTTGTTGTCGTTGTGTGTTCGCCAATGGTAATTAAACTGACGTTAACTTGTAGTGAATCGATGATGCATGTATGTGTTCAATGTGTGTGTGTAATCGAGACGAAAAATGTAAAGAAATAGAGAAAGAAACCAGGCATTCATTGTAATTGCAGCTTTTTTAATTTTCGTGTTGGTTCTTTTTTTTGCGCAAAAAAAATGTTGTGCGTAATCGTGTGTCATGTTGCCGTTATTGTTGTTGTTGGTCATGTTTCCGTTTTGTTTGCATATGTCGCACCTGAACTATTCAACATAAAATGTGGCCGTGTTCTAGGGCCTAATTACAGTGCTATAACTTCTAGTCATTAAGTCTTATGTTCATATGCTTTTTCGTATACAATTTTGAGTGATCGTACCCGTTCGCACAAATTCGTTCGGCAAAATCGAACAAAAGCCTTACAAAATATTACGAATAAAGCAAAAACCAAGAGAATTGTGGTAGAAACAAACAGTAATATGAAATTCGGGTGTGCAAAAAAAATTTGAAAAAAGAAATTTTCACCTTTGGTTAATTAAGTACGAAAATCCGGACCAGTATCGATCTGCGCCCGGATTGTGATTGACCGTATAGCCATTTGTTGGTAAGTAGCCGGTTGTTGAAGCAGGAGGCGGTGCAACCGTGTGCACTTTATTTGGATTTGGATAATCATAGCCTCTGTCGATTTGATGAAAACCATCGGTTGACACAGCATTTGGTCGTTCGGTAAATGTTGGCGGTTGATTTGGTTCGGGCGGCTTTTGATCAAATGGCGGTATATCATTAAATCGGGTTGCTTCAAAATCGTCAATGGTTTCATCAACGATAAGATTATCGACATTATCAACACCCCATTTATCCAAAAGCAATCGTATCGCCTGTCTACAAAGGATTACAACATTTTATTTAAATGAATTTATTTTACAGCGATACACCGTTTAGAATTGAACTCTTACGATGGATAGTTTGGCACATATTCACAATAAGTTTTGCCTGGTGTTGCACATACTGGTGTTATTCCAAACGTTGACGGAACAAAGTTACACGGTGGCTGTCCGTAAAGGCCACATTTTTGATGCGAAAATCGCGATGATGTCGCCAAAGTTTCACACGATAAAAACTAATTTCACCGAAGTATCCGAACATGAAAGGAAAACAAACACACACCAACCAAATTAAAAATAAACATCTTTAAATAATAAAAATGATTGTGAAAGATTATAGTTAAACAATTGCATGTTGTACGATATAATCGATGCACAAACACAAATCACCTCTGGCCATTATGATAACCACATTCATTTTGTGTACATCAATTTAATTTGAATTTAATAACAATAACGAAACAGCCAACACAAGCAAAAACTAAATGCAAATGACTAAATAAATCTATATAATTTGTTAAAAACAAAAATTTAAAAGTAATATAATACCATAAATGAAATACTCCATAGAAGTGCATTCATTATGATGTGTGAATTTGATGGATGTGTGCTGTTTTCTCACTCTATTACTTATTGGACGTGTTTCGGTTTCTACTCGTGTTGTGCTGCTGTTGTTGGCGTTTTTTTTTCTCTCTTCTTTTTCGCTTGCAAAACACCAATTGATTGCTTGAAGTTGTGTCAGTATTTGATTAATATTCACTTTGGCTAACAAGATTATGTTTTCTTCTTCTTCTTATTTTCTTCAATAGTTCAATTGTTTGTGTACTTCGTATATATTTCATGAAACTATTATCGGCAGAGACAATTAGTGATTTGGCTGTGAAAAATGGGATGATACCGATTGCAAAATCACAACTATCCAATAATAATGTCTTTATTTAAAGAGATATTTGCTTGTTGCTTTAATATTATGTTAATACATCGTTTCGCACTGTAGTACCACACTTTGCTCTCTGCATAGCAAGAACATGATGGGAAATCGTCTAATCACACACACCAACCAGTAACAATAGATTTTTGTTGAGACCAAACAAAAAAACTAAATAAAATAAGCGCACACGACCTAGCGACTTGAATTGAGTGTGAAAATAAACACAGCGACTTGATCTCGATGTGTCTTTATTAACACAAATTATGTTATTTTATTTCAACTGTTTCATCAGCAATCAAGTTGTTTCACATTCAATATACATTTCATGTGAGAAGCGATGATCGAATCCCGATTCAACAACGGTTTAAACGCCTATCGCAATCTTGTGAAAATGTCCAAATCAAGAAAACAATGAGACAGAGCAGAGAAAAACAAATAACAAAACATTAATGAAGTCACAGATATGGTTATGCTATTGAATGCCATTGAATGTGGCCACAAAATTGAAGCGAAAGAGGAAGAAGAAAAACAAATGCACACACATCGACTAGTGGACGAGTGTTGATGAGCAAAAGAGGAACTCTATGCAAAAAATACGGTGACGCAAATGAGAACACATTTGATATGCTTCCTAATCGATTCAATTAGCACATTTCAATTTATTTTCAATTTGTCATTTATGATCCAGCTAAACATCTTTTTCTGTTTGCAAACCATTTACCATACACACAAATCGATGCAGTCAAGAGACAGAGGATATGAATGTATGCGTTAAAAATGCACAAGGCATCTGGTTCTTGATTACGGTACACAATGTTATTTTTGTAGCAGTTGGATAAATGTTCGAATAAAGGTCGCATTTCAAAAAAAATAATAATAATAATAATCAAAAGTTGATCGCGCATCATGGTGATACCGACGAAATAAAAAGGCGCCTTGTTGAATGTCACACTAAGAACGATAACAAACATAAGCATACGAATTGATTGCAAGTAGTTACATGGTGTGCGTGCACATTAAACGATGTTCTGGCGACAAACCACTTGAATTGCATTTATTCTTAGGACAAAACGCGTTCGATATAGTGTAAAAATGCGGTGAGTGTTAAGTGCTACATCGTGTAGTTGCACATCAACAAACTAAAGTCACAAATCGTTCCACATCCGATCATTTACACACATACAAAAATAACAAGACGGAAACGAATCTTTTAAAATTTACAATATTTTTCAACAAAAATAAAGATAACATATTTTTTCTCGCTCCCTCTCTCTACATGATACTAATGAGCAATATTTCGTCATTAAGCACGGATAAAAGAGAAAAACTCCACACGGTTTCGATTTTATTAGCCGAACCAAGCTCACTAATTTCCATATGAATCCAAATACAGAACACGAATTTTCGTTGATGAACCGTGGTACATGAAAATTACTTTCACTAGAAAATCCTCGGTCTGAATCTCCTTTTGCACGAACACAAAACACTGACACACACACATACATACACAAATTTTTCATTGACGAAAGGAACATATGGTCAAATAATTAGTTTTTGATTTGATTTCATTCATGCAGTGAAATATTTAATTCGATGCGAGGAAATGAATTGAATGTGTGTGTTATTTTTTATTATTTGGTTGTGCATGGCCAAACGTACGTTGATCAATTACATTTCACAGTATGAAGCAAGCGCAGTGCAACACACAGATGGAACACCGAAACAAAGAACGATCGCGCGCACAACACACGATTTTTTCGATGCCACACGGTGACGATACATTTATGGTACTGAGTCATAGTCGATCTAGTCGGAAAACAAGCGTCGTTGTCGTTCCGTGTGTATGCAGAATATATGTATATTTGGATGTGGTGTGTGCGATGATGATGATGGGTGAGTGATAGTGAGAGAAAACATTATGATTACCTGAATGTGCAATGCAAAACTATACTCTTTCTCATAATGGTTGGCATATCATTAATGAAATCTCATTACAAAATTACACTCACGAACAACAACAATAATAAGCATTCCAGTTTGAAGTATAAACAATATTTGCGTGCCTTTTATTATTTTGCCGGCTACAGGGCAACCGCTTTTTTCTTTATTAGATGCAATCACAATGCAATGTCAAAGATATATGCTTTTGATTTTTCACATTCAGAGTTTTTACTTAATTTGGCATCAATATTTCATTTTACTTTGTACTTGTCACCAATTTTTTTTTCGAAATAAGATTATCTTCTTTTTATTCCATTGAATTGCAAATAATTGTATTAATAAAAAATAATCATTTTAAATGGGAATCGCTTTTAATTATTCGTAGTTTCGAAAATTAAAAATTTTAATTCATGGAATATTCACAAGACTTCTGATCATAATTCAAAACTGGAATATTTGCTTACAACAACATTAAAAACGATGGAGATCGCGAAAAAATAGGCAAAAGATAAAATCTTAACCCATTTATAACACGCGCCTGTTTATTACTTTCGTTTATCGCAGAATTGAAAGTGAAAAATAAAGAAGGAGAATACCATAAAAGAAAGCAATATAACTCGATGAAGATTTAAAGTGTCATTAGGTTCAATCAAAATGCCGTTTGTAAACATTATTCAAATTTCAACAAAACACACGTTCTTTGCCTCTCTCACTTCGATTTCGGCCCAATTATCAAATTTTTTACACACACCACACATGGGCACGGTAAAATTTAAGAAGGCAAGGGGAGTATATCCACCAATCAAAAACTCTAGCAAATCGAAAAAAATGTCGCTCCTTTGAGTTTTGAAAATAGTTTTTTTATTCCACTCGAAAAAAAATGATTTCGGGGAGGAAGGGGGGATGGGATTTGGCTTAAACACCCTAGAAAATCGAAAGACTTTGATTCATCTCGCACGAAATTGAAGCTCTGAAGATTTAAGGGGTGTTATCCGGATTTACACTGCCTCTGTGCCCATGTATGACATACACACACTTATCGCAAAATTTAAAGAATACATTTGACATAAAGACCTAATTAATATTCCAACATCGAAATATCGGTGGTATTTTCTATTTTTTTTATTTCTTCTTATATTTTGCATATAGTAAAAGAAATTTTTTTTCTCTCCCTCTCCAAAGACGATTTCTTCTGGAACTTTTGGTCACCATAATGCGGCTGTCTTTCTATTGTACCTCTTCTGCCAAGTTGGACGCTTTGCATACAGTAGATATTTATTAAATAAATTAGTTGTTGTCGTGCAAAACCAACACGATCAGTTAACATTTTGTTTTCGTTTGTGTGGCTAATGAATCGGTGTTCGTGTTTCTGGCATTTGTGATTGCTTTGAACTGAACATTTTCATCAAATAAATCTGCCACATAGTCTTTCATGTCTAATAAATCAATAGATGCTTTTTTTGCTGAACGATAAATTTGACAAAATGAAGAAAAAAGAAATTCACATTAAGTAACGAACCGTTTTTCACTTTGTTTTATTACAGTCTTTTGGAGAATCTCTGGCACATTAGCTAATCCGATTTGTTTTGATTTTTACTTGTATACTAATTTATTACATATGGTAAATCGAAGCAAAATCTAATTCTTTTTTTACATTTTCTTGTTGAATTACCTGCTACACTGTAAAATAGAAGGGATTAAATATTAATCATTTGGGATTTTTCATCAAAATAATCCAAAAGGATTAAATTTTAGCACTGTAGGATTAAATTTAAATACTTACTAATTGTAGCGAATTGTAGGACCACGTTGAAATCCCGCACAAAACCCAGGGCTTACGGCCGAGAGCTCCGCGCTTGATCCAGATGAGAACGCAATGTTCGTTGTGTTGTTTGTTGATTCTGAAAATGACAATGATTATATCAATTTCTAAATATGAACTTAAATTAAAAGTATGTGTAGCTTCAATTGATTAGATAAATTCAAAGCAGAATTATTGAAATGATTACATACTTGATTGGATGCTGCTCGTCTTGATTGTCGAGCTCGTGCTGGTGGTGCTGGCGGTGGATCTCCTTCTCCTGCATTTTCTTCTTCTTCTTCAACATTCCGTTGAAATGCTGGATGTAGCTCTATATTCATAACAGCACACCATCCTGTTTGTTTGTAAGGAATAAAAAAAACGAATTCATTGTCTATTGTTCATTGACTTGTTCATATTAAACTGAGAGCATATCAATTTAACAAACACAAACCTTTGTAGAGAATGTTACGACCTGCATTTGCATCACGATTCCAGGTGATAGTACGCCCAATTCGAGTTTTCTCTTCATATTTACTAAATTTTGATGCCATACGTGGACCTTCAGTACGGGGACGATGTTTTCGTTGCTGCGTCAATTTGCGATTGCTTTTTCGTGATTCAATCGGACCTTGGGCTTTTCCAAGCACATTTTCTCCACACAATGGTTCGCATCCATGGCATGTGAGATAGCGATATTTCTCCTTTACTTTGCCTCTTTTTGTCGGTTTTTCAAGTTCACGGAAGCACAACGAACATAATTTGGTCGTCCGAAATTCGTCCACCTCGACCACTGTATATTTACGGCGACGTTTCAACTTCTCGAACAAATCTCGCACCTTCGATCGAATATATCCTCGGGCTGGTGAATCTGCCGCAATGAAACGATCACCGACAAATATGAACGTTTGCTTACCATCGATGAGCTTGGTTGCATATGCATCAAGTGCTCTATTCGTGTCAATGTACTGGAGAAATGCTTGCAAAGCGTATTCATACTGTGTGTATGCTGTGAACTCTTCTTCAAAATGACGCAAAATATGATCAGCATATGATTTATGGTCTTCGGCTCGTGAACCAGGCTGCTCATCAAATGACTCACGATGTAGACGCATCTTTTCATCGATTTCAATTGTCAACTTTTTGCGCCATTTGTTCCGTCGCGATGAATTTATCATATCTTGGTATTGGCCCGATGTCAATCGAATGATTGTTTCAGTGCGATTATTTCGATCGTTGAAATTGTTAATGCGCACACCACCAATGACCAAACGTAGTCCAGGATCGAGACCATACACCTGTTGGCTTTTCAGAAGCATCTCTTGTGTCTCTTTCATACGCTCTTCATCGTCTTTTTCAATGATGAATTTTGTTCGTTCCATCAAAAATGACATACCGACACCATCTGTTTGAATGGAGTTGTCGAATTTTATTGTTGCATGGCCATCATTTTTGTTTCTCGGTTCTCTTTCGATGCTATCGATGTCGAAATACAGACGCCATAATACATCCCATTCTTTATTTTTGATGTCTTCCTCCTGTTTTGGGCCGCCGTTTTTATTGCGAAATAATCGATGTGGACATTCTATCTGTCTCAACATGCGATAAAACACTCTACGATCAATTCGAATGTAATGTCTTTCGAACGATGACGTTGGTAGCACGGTGAAATTTCTGTATTCACGAAGCTCGGTTCGTTCACCTCGCTTCAATGCGGCTTTTCGTTCACGTTCATGATTGCGAATGTACCTATTTTTGTATATTTCCCAAAAAATAAATTGATAAAATTACTCGTGTGATATTTGTAGAATTTTCAAAATGGAAAAAAATCGCATAAAAAATACAATCGTTTGATTCACAATAATAAATGAACGAAAGCTCACTGTTGCAAATTCAGGAATATTGGTATGTATTTGAACCAATTGCTTTCCATAGCAAAAAAGTACCCTTTCCCATCGTCGAATCGGATTGGCTTTGATGTATTTTCCAGTTCCCACATCAAATTCAGGTCTGGCACACAGTTGGAGTTTCGCTTGAATAAGAAATCCATGGTGTCATCAATTTGTGCTTTGCTCGCGTTTTGATGTGTGAAAAACTTTCGGATGCGTGAGTGAGCGTGCATACAAATATTATTTTTGTAATTTGTATAAAACATTTGTACTGCGTATTCAACTACATTCCCGAATCCTCCAATTACTGGAGCTCGAACACCGTATTTTTGGCAATAGTACCAAATGCCGTAATACAACCTGTACCCGCTTTCTCTGGCGTCGTTAAATGCATGCTCAATGAACTGAACGCCGTAAAACCAATCTCGAAATAAATTTTTGTCGACGAATTGAGTATAGAATGCTTCGATTTGCTCGTCTGTACTGCGCTTGAAATGATCACTGGTGAAATAATGCAAATTCAGTGCACCCAATATGTAGCACCGTGTCATTTCTAATACGTATACGTCGATCAACTGAGCAAATTTTCCAGTGTTAATGGGCAGATTCACTTTTAAACCTTTTCGAGCACTTTTTTTAATTGTTTGGTGTTCTTTAATTTTTATCTTCTTTCGTGGCTTAAACGCCGATTCGTGATTCCGTTTGCGACCGCTCATTTTTAGCAACTGTTAACGTATTGGAATCTCCACCGATATTTATACCTCGAAATATTGATGAATAATCAAAATATATTTTGATAAATATAAAAGTGCCGGTTTAAAAATATTCAGGCCACTGTTATATTTATCAAAAACTACAATGACTATGATAGACTATGCATGCCATCAAATAAATTTATTAATTATACTCAAAAATCGGTTGATTTAGCAATGTATTATTGTTGATGAATTTATAGGTTCCTGGTATTTTAAAAACAGGCCTCTAAAAATTTATCAAAATATACAATCACCGATTCATGTGATCGAACGGGTTCACAATAAACAAATATCAATGCGTTCATTTCACTCTTGCATAAATACAATTTCATAATTCTGCAGTCCGATTTCAAATGCTGACAAAATGTTCGCTAAATTACACTCCCAAAGGTGTGATACTGAATTTATGTTGATATTCGATGCAAAAGAATCTTATTGAAAATCATTCGTCAACAAAGCAAGAATTAATCTTTCGTCAACACGCATTTTACGATAGTGTTTCGGTTGTTCAAGATTCTGATGGATTTTGAAAATTTTGCAAAATGTTTGCCATGTTACCCTTTTGAAAAAAAATCACTGAGCACACAAAAGCGGTTGTGACATGGAATGTTGATATTGATGCGAACCGACCCAAAATTCTATTGAAAACCATTCGCTAATCAATTCTTTACTTTGTTTTCACTAGCTATAAAATATTTTATCAGAAATCTAATAAATTGCACAGAAGCGATGGAAAAAATGATTCTATTGAGAATTATATTCTAATAAACAAACTAATCGAAATTCCAACAGAAACAAAATTTAGTTTTTTCGACAGCGGTGCACGTGATTTACACAATAAACATAAGACCGTGAAAGGTTATGTTTGCAATCGAATGACAATGACAAGCATTTGAAGTTTCATGTAAATGTCAATACAATATGAAACAGTGTTCCAAAGGAAGATTCATTTTGAGATATTTTTTTACAAACAACAAAAAAGTGTTTATTGAACTCAAGTTAAAAAATATAAAATGATCCCATTGGATTACTTTTTAGTCCTTTTGGATTAATCGTAGCTGAAAATCCCAAAATACTAAATATTAATACCACCGATATAAGAGTGTAGCATTCCAATTATCTTTGAAAATACCTTTGATAAAGTTTTATTTACTCATTTTTTATTGATAAAAATCGTTGTGATTAGTTCAATTCGCATAGTGGTCGTGCACGTTAAAGTACATGTTGATTATTATCGGTTATAAATTCATAATAAACATTCAAACTGAGTGAAACTACCATATCGATTCTCAATATGTTAAAGCTCCGTAGATGGCGACACATATTTGTATTACGGCAAAATATACTGCTGAAGTTATCGCGGTTTTTCTATGGGAAATTCAAATCGAATTTTCAACCAAAATTCGATTTTTTTTAATTCTTTATTTTATTCATTGATTATTCAAATTTTCATTCATATCATTAAAATTACGAAGGCATTTCCATATTATTGATATTTCATTTAAATATGATAAACAATTAAAGGCAAACGAAATTCGATTTTTTGTAAGGAATAAGAATGAATATGATGAAAACCTTTATTCTTTTTTATTGGAAAGAGTGATAGTTGATTCGTATAAATTCCGAAATTGCGATTATTTCCGCGAGGAAGAAAAAGCTGTTCAAACAATAAAAGTCATGGAGTCATGATGAGTTTAAGTAGTTTTTTTAATAATTCAGTCTTTATTCGAACAAAAGATAGTGTCTGAACAAAAGCTTAAAAATAGTTTTTTTAGGTAACTCCAGCGAAAGTTCGCATCGAACGTTGAATACAGCTCGCCCGTTTAGCTTGACACTTCATCATTTTCTTCCGTAATTTCCGTTGGCTCATGGTTTTCGCCAACTATTTCCGTATATGGAGCTAGATTTCTGGAAATGAAAATGAAAATGAAATAATATTTGTTTCGAAATGTCGAAAGCAAAGATAGATAACAACTAAATTAATGCGAAATATGTTTGTTTTTCAGCTCTAACGGCTTGTGGCGGAACCAAGCGGCCAATTATGAAATAATGTTAGCAAGTTCTACATGAATATGCCGATTTGGCTCTATACTACTGTGGAAGCAACCTTGCGCTTACTCGAGTAAGCAACTTTCTTCAATAAGTTGAAAAATTAGGGCTATATATAGCCAAAGCTATGACTTGATTACTCGGAATCTCAAAATTCAGCCAAATAAAGGTTTTGTGTCAGTGTACTTCAACATTGCTTATGGAGAGATAAGTTGACCGAAAATAAAGATTGATTTTATAGCATAGAATTTGGAAGCAGAGAAAGCAGAGAAACCAGAGAAACATGTTTCAAACGAATGTAGAAAGTCAATGCACCGATATGAAGATAGTTTAGCATTGTGTACAAGCAAGAAAAAAGGGAAAACTCCATCGAGACAAACCGCTTCTTTATTCATAACTTTGTTTTGATTTTTTTTGCTTCCTTCTATTCTTCTTTCTATTATTCTTAATTTACGATATAATCGTTTTATTGGAATTACGAAAACTATTTGAAAAACGCTATCATCTATAAACGCTGGCTCTTAATCTAATTACAAGTACAAAATTCTTAATATTATTGATTTGATGAAATGTCCATCAAACGTGTCCAGTTAATTTGTCTTTCGGTTCTCTAGTTTTGTGCAAAATAGAATCGTGAAATGTGAAATAAAATAAGAATGATCATAAATTTATTTACAAACCTATAGAAAACATAATGCTGTAACAAGAATAGAATATCAAACATCACAGAAAATAGTCCAAGCCCAAATTTGGTTGGATCGCCGAAAATTGATACCCAGTCATCTAAATATTTTATGCAAAAAAGAATAATCACAATGAATAACATGATTTCAAAGGAGTCAACTGTCTAATTCACCATAATTGTGTGCATTTAACATCATTTGCAGCATACTCAAAGTGCCTCCCGTAAAATCGAGCAAAACATTTCCGATCGACCAACCAATCGTACTTTTTCTTTGGTAGTTCATGTACGCCTGTGCAAAAGTTAAAAAAAAAAAACAAATTTAGAAAAAAACATTCGTAATCGTGTTAATTTTGTTTGTTACTTGTGGTAAATATTTGATGAGTGTGATCGTTAGTTTAATGTAACTGCAAATATACAAAAAGTCCAACCAATGTATAATTTTTACTGTAGCTAGCACCGCTGAGAGAACTCCGCATACAGCAAACAATGACAAAAGTGATCGACCAACCATCGAAACACGCTGATCAGCTCTCTAAATATGTAAACAAATGTGAATTGATTAAACTTTCACTCGGCCAACGAAATCAAATGATGGTACAAACTTCGTAAGCGAAACACTGAAAGATTGTGATAAGAGTGGCGAATACGGCATGACATGCGAAAAAAACATCATTCAATTGTACTGGATTCAAACCGCGTGGAAAGCGTCGAGCATATTCATCCTGAAACATTCAATTTATTAGTGATAAATTCAAAATGATTCTCATGTTGTTTTCGTTACCTGAATTTCCGGCACCAAATACAGTCCAATGTTAAACATACCATACAAAATAAAACCGACAATGTTCAGTGATAGAAAGTCAAAATTCAATCCGACTACACTTTTTCGTTTGAAATTGGTGTAAATCTGTGGATAGAATGACACTGACCACGCCACAAAATAGCACCAACCAATGGCTGATGAAATCGTTATCAAATCAGTTGAAACAGCCACCACAACACGAACGAAGAGATTCTCCGTACTAAATAAATAAAAAATGAATCGGTGGTTATAAAATGATTAATAGATATTCAAGTTAAATATTCGTACTCAATGGCATCGTCTGGCTTTGCGCTGGCTGTGATTTCAACGTGTCCCGCCGATTGTCCAATTATCTTGACATTTGCTAAGCCACCAGAATTCGGACCAAATTTTAACACTTTCGGTTCGAGTTGTACTAATCCTTCGTGTGACACTTTAAGTGTTACATTAACTTCTTTATCGATGAGGCCACTGTTGAATACAAAAAAAAATAATTGTTTATGAATTTTTTGAAAGATGTTGTTTTTCTGTCTTAATTTATAAAACTAACTTCAATTGAACTGCAAATGTTTCGAACTGTTCGACGACGACAAGCGCATCATGTGTTGATATATTTATTGTTGCATTCTTTTTCTGACACTCGGCTAGATGATCTGCTCGATGGGGGAAAATTGAAATTGATTGAGTCATTTCATTCTATAAAATATGTTTAATGAAATGAAAGTGAATTTAATGTAACTTACGAGACGACAATAATGCGATGGTCAGTAAAAATGCAATGACCGTACGTTGCGATAGTTCCATTGCAATAAAATTCTGAATTTTAAACAGAAAGAATGAAAAAAAATTACATTTTTAGGGGCAAATAAAGGTGAACATAGAACTGATAAATGAAATCTCAATATGAATTGGTTGTGATGCTCATTTTATATGAATGATCCAAATATATTATTGGAAGTATAAATTAAAACGTAAGGATTTTTCACTGAAATTGGGCATTTATTTCAAGAGGATGGTACACATTTTTTTATTCAAAGTATTGTCCATCGCTAGCCACTACTTTTTCCCATTTTCCAGGCAATTCATGGATTCCGTGCCAAAAGAATGGTTGTTGTTTTGAACGAAACCACGAACCGACCCAATTTGCGATTTCCTCCGAAGAAGTGAAGCGTTTGCCTGCCAATTCGTTTTGCATCGTTCGAAACAAGTAGTAATCAGAAGGAGCAATGTCTGGTGAATACGGCGGGTGGGGTAGAACTTCCCATCCTATTGTCGACAAGTATTGTTTGACGACATTTGCAATATGTGGCCGAGCATTGTCATGTTGAAGAATTAACCGGTTGTGTTTTCCCCTCCATTTTTTCCGATCTTTGTCCAATGCTCGCTTCAATCGCATCAGTTGTAGTCGATAGCGATCTCCTGTGACTGTTTCACCCACTATACACGATACCCTTTTGATCCCACTAAACACAGAGCATTACCTTGAAACCATGAATATCTTCCTTTGCGTGCGATGGTCCTGGTTCGCCGCGTCGAACGTATGATTTTTTTCGCTTTGGGATATCGTAGTGGATCCACTTTTCATCGCCCGTAACAATTCGATCCAAAAATGACTTGCTTTTTTGTATTGCGAGCAGCATTCCACAGATGGTAAAACGCCTTTCAACATCTCTCGGTTTCAATTCGTGCGGCAACTAGTTTCCAAAGTTTTGGATGAACCCTAATGCTTTTAAACGTTGTGAAATGGTTGCTTGAGTAACTTCCAATGATTTAGCGAGTTCTTCTTGCATTTGGCATGGATCTTCATCGAGTAACAATTCCAATTCTTCATCTTCAAATTTTTTCGGCTGGCCTGGACGCTCTTTGTCTTCCGTGTCAAAATCACCACTTCTGAATCTTCTAAACCATTTTTCACATACACTTATTGAAATTGAATATTTGGGATACGTTTCCGACAACAAACGATGACATTCAGCAGCACTTTTCTTTTGATTAAAGTACAAAAGCATTGCTTCCCGCAAATGCTGTTTTGTTGGAACGTAATTCGACATTTTAATCGCAATAAAAAACTTGTGTGTGCAGAATTGTTTTCACTTTGACAGATCGAATTTAGTAGATTTTTTGACGCTCTTTAAGATACAACAGCTTTCACTGTCCAAACAATTGCATGTGTGATAGATATGAAGTTAGATACGAATCCTTACGTTTTAATTTATATTTCCAATAATTCTCTGTAAAAAAAGTCTGAAATTGGAATTTTATTATAATTATTTTACATTGTAATATGATGCAGATTGGTCAACTGGTTTTTATGAAATTCACGTTTCAAATATCTTTATATGTGTATAGTAGCCCATTTCCTGGGCAGTATATTTCACGTTTCAAGGGGAATGTCTTAACTTAAACAATTCGAAATAATTAACTAGAAATACACTGAACATTAATTAAACAGATTTTGAGCGGTTATCTCCAAAACAAAGTCGATTTCTGAAATTAATTCAAATTTTAGAATTTGGGCTTTTGTTTCGATTTACGTCCAATTTATATTTAACTTGTTGACCGTATTGTGTAGGCTGTAAGTATCAAAGACATTGAACTGAAAATGGCTTATTATAGCCAGTCTTACGCACATATTCAATACCTAATTATTTCGAACCAATTCCATGGTGATATTCTACCTGCTTTAATCACTTTTTCCAAACATAGCACGATAAACTTTTGAACTTTGTCTCAGAAGAAGAGAAATCAATTCGAAAATTAAATTAAAATTTTATTTTTTTTCTCAAAAACAAAAAATCGAAAGTTTTGTATAGAAGGCACCTTTATTTTTGGTTGAAATTTCATGAAACTTGGTGATATTACTTATTTTGGTCAGAAAATAAGATACACAAGTTTTCATGGTGATTGGGTCACTGCAAATTTTCATGATTTTCCAGTAAAATGTACCTCCTTTCCTTTCAAGTCGCTGTCTTATATGGAATCGCAAGTTGAAAATTTCTTCATATCTTGAATCTGGGGACTATAAGACATGTTTTCTGAAATGGCCATAAAATTGTGCCAAAAATGTTCCACCCTACTGCACATGAACACTTATCATGCTCTTCGTTATTATGGATATGCACGTAAGAAAATAAAAGCCGTAGATTAGAAGAGTTTCTTTGCGTATATGCGACTATCGGGGATAAACGGCTAACTTTTCTTGTAAAATATGAACAAAAAAAAAAAGAAATGTTTGATGACCAACGTAAACACAGTAGTCATTTTATTGTGCCGACTTTCTGCTAGAGAAAAATTTCAGTCAAAGACAATCAAATCAAAGCATTTTTGTCATTAAAAAACTTTTCAAATGATAAAAAATAGCAAAAAATTGGTGTCAATTAATTAACATCATCAACTCCGCGGATGCGACAGTCTCGTCTTTGTTTGATTTTAATGTGACTGGCAATTAGTCATTTGAGATAAAAATGAATACGGTTGGCTGGTTTCACTTTATTTACTCATCTGAAAAAATGTGTTACTCTTCCGTGTACGTCGTACTAGGAGCCGAGTCACATGTCATCATTGTTCATTGTAGCTATGGCAGTGGTTTCATGCTCAAATTTTGTTTTTCTCGTTTACAATTGAGAACTGGAATTTGGCACCTCTGAACGATCCATGGTAATGAGCAAAAATCCGCTATGTTTGTATCTTACTATCGTGTATTATATCAAGCACCTGCTGTAGCATTTATCAGCTCTAGAAACGTGCTTGAATTGAGCACACAGAGAGAAGACCGGCTTTATATTGCTTGCACACGTTGAAATAAACTGGTAATAAACAAACAAAGTTTATTTTGTTCGATACGTACGGCTTCAATTAGCACTCTTGCATTCTATTCATTCTTCTCGATAATTTTCAACATAAATTTGAAATTATAGAACCATATCATTCATTTGAATGACATTTTTAACGAACTGTCTATGTTCCCAATGAAATTCAATATCTAACTATGTCAACAATTTTGCGTAATATTCTTTCAACTTTTTTAGAATTCTCTTTAGATGACATAATGAAGACATGAAGTAGTTGGAATGATTTGCAAAATGTCTGTTTTCAACATTGTATAAATGAATACGAATTCAGGAGGTGTACGTTCAATTTGAATGATACACAATATTCTTATCGACTTCATAACCATTACAAAAACTATCAGAAACAGAACAAATTTCAAATTCAGTTAAAATGAAATAATGATTTATACACATGTTGCTCAATTATTGTAATTAAATGCAATTTTCTAATAGCAACAAACGATTATTCGACACGCTAAATACCAATAATAATAATATACATGCAATACAGTACACAGCGTTATAAAATCATTCGTTTAACTATCCCGACGGTATGAAATTATGGTCGGAAAGAAAGGAGTTGATTGAGACAAATTTAATTATTGATAGTGCCGGAATGTGCATGTGACCTTCTGATTCACGTTGGGTTGATGTTATCTGTAGGCATCTAAATTGGCCAAGATAGGCTATCGTTCAGTAATTTTTAACCATTTAGAATTTACGAAAATAATAACTTAAAAATATTCAAATATCTGCGTAAATAAATAAAAGAAAAGTGATAAAAAAAACACCATTAATTTGAGTCAACACATAATAGAAATTTTATTTCATAAAATCAAGAATTCAAGACTCAAATTAAAAGTGTTTTCTTAATCATTTTTCGTTTATTTATTCATCGGAGTCAACGTATTTGTTCTTTTTTATTCAATATCTACGTGAATATTTTGATACTGGTGATCTTTGGCTGTCCCTTATTTTTTGTTTTGTTCCGTTTTGTTGTAAAAAGTGACTAAATCGGAACCAGGTGGAAATCAATTGAAAAAAAACATCTAAATTTCTTTTTAAAAAAATTAGATTAAATAATTTTCAAGGTCTATCTACGTCGAATAAATATGAATTGATAAAGTTCTCAAGCCCATTTTAAATATAGTTTTGGTAGGTTTTGTGTTATTATCATTTGCCCAGTAACAAATCCAAGACAATTCAAGTCAACCAAATCTTCTAAAAATCACTGTAGTTCTTGAACCGTAATTTTAGAGCGATAAAAGACATTTCGAAAAATGTGCTGAAACGCAAATTGTACTGACTTGCTTGATAAGTTAATTTAACATATACGGGAATTCGTATGGCAAGATGTAATATCAAAACATATCCACGCAGGATGCTGTTGTAACAACTAACGAAACGCGTTCGTTAAAAGTTGATTATATCAATGGAAAAACGATCCCATTTCCCATGACTATTTACTGAATTTAAAAACACGCTTGCCGCAATGCTATAGTTACAAAATAAACATAACAGAATAATTAGTGAACAAAATACTCGAGTTCAATGATTCAAACTCTTGGCTCGAATGAAATCTATTTGCTAAACAATTGACAGCTCATTGATTATATATAGAACAACTATTCTATTCGATTTATCAGTCAAAATCGATGAATGAAATATCTTTGTATTTGTTTTTTTCTTTCAATTATGCATCTAAATACACGTGAATAAATCGGCTGATTTGGTATCTGTGACAGTAAAATAATGCACGATTTGCGTACGTAAGTTCGATGAAATTTAAATGTATTCCATTCTTGATTGAGATATTGTGTTCGCTTTTCTCTGCACCCTAATTTATTTGAATTGTACGTGCGTCAATTCAAAAGCACTTGTAATTGTATCTTTTTTCGAAAAAATGATGATGATTTTTTGAAAAATTGCTGTATGTAAACAATTGATATCACCGGAGGTGATATAGACACATTATCATTTTTAATCAGAATTTTTCGAAATGCCTTTCGATCATTACAATTCAGAATATTATTTTATTTACTTAGATACCGACTGATATTGAATCATTTCTGTGTTTTTTCATTTTTTTTTGATTTTTTAATCTCTTCAAAAAATGCGATTGTTAAAACACTTGAGAATAAGCAAGTTCCTATCTCTTTTCTCATTTTTTCTTTCATTATTCTTTTTTTGAACAGTTTTATCAGTCAATTTTTTAATTGGCTTTTGCATTTTTCAAAATGCAATGAGCTGTCGTTTTTTCAAAAATCTAGAGCACAAGACGTCAGCAGTTTTGATCGTATACTGTTTTATTGCTGGCCATAAATATTATCATTTTCTAAACATATTTAGAAAAAAAATTGTCTTGTAGGAAATAATGCATTTTATGATAGTTTGGGCGTGAACAATGCATGATCTTTTCAGCCATTACTATTGAACCGAATCAAATGTGAATTCTGATTAGACTTCAATGTGGATTAGTTATCAAAGCTAAATTGATTTGATAGAATAACTTCTATTGTAAAATTTATGATGAAATCTCGATGTTTGTTCAAAACAATGTAACTAAATGATTTAAATGACGCTACTGAACTTAGAGAGAGAGAGAGAGCACAACAATGTGGCAATTGGTGATATAAATCAGTGAACTCTGGGTGAACATTATATGTTCTGATCGATGTTTGAGCTTGACGCAGTAATGAACTAGGCTCAATGTTAACGCTGGAGGTAAACAACCATTTAAATCAATTTATTTTTTAATTAATAATTCGTTTCAACGAAAGTTAAGCGTACGTAAACACGTTTCGATGACTTGTTAGTTGAGAATAAAGAAAAAAACTGACTCAAAAATTCAATAACATATTAGCTCTTTATACTTTTTTATCCTTTGAATAATGAATATTTTTGCGACACAATTTATTCGGGTTTTATTCCGAGTGCGTTTCAGTGAAACGTGTATGTTTTGTTTTTGCCAAATTGTGAATAAGTGCAATTAACAAAAAACGTCATCAACAAAGAGTAATCAATGCATGCGTAATTTAAAGTCTGGCCAAAATTCTACTTAAATGATGACTATGTAAAATTTCCGATTTGCAATGAGTAATTTTCATTCGAAATCAAAAGATTACGTATAATTCGAGAAAATGAGGATTTTTCCTTAAAATCAAACAAATTATTAACGATTTTTAATTCAATTCTGAAAATTTTCTATTGGAAAATATAAACACACACACACTTAATTTTCACCTAATTATGATTGAAGATTGGCCGTTCTGTAAGATCACACAGCTAAATGTTTTAGCGGGCTGTATTCAAGTTCGCGCGCGTGTTTCAGATGGAGCTTAGTTCTATTATGGCTGAGTTTTACAAACCGACTGAAATGGAGACCGAGACCGACACCGGACGATACCCAGTTAAATCGTTTGCAATACGGCTTCGTATGCATCAATACACAGCGAGACAACAACACGATGGCATAAATTTTTGTACTTCTACAACATCAATGCGGCAACACAAAAACACAAAAAAAAAATACCGATACACACCATACCCGTTTCGTTCAATGTGAAATGCTTCTCAGAAATCTCAATCTCTTTTACTGTGTGACCATGTGTATCTCTCTGTGTGTCGATGTTTTCATTCGGTATTTGTGGACAGTTATTAAACTTATTTGAAAAAAAAAGAAGTGTAACAATATCGGTTTCTTCAATGAACTTGGTGAAAAGGCCGTTGTATTTGTATGCATCGACATTCTACTGTTTATTGATGAGAAAGCGAGCGCAGAACTTGCGACTGAGAGCACACATGCAGAGACGGAAGCATTTAATCTGGTGCACAGCATCAAATTATGGCTTTCGATTATTAACAAGAAAGCCATAATCGAAACAACGCTGATAATGGTTGCATCAATCAATGAAATCGACGAAGAATGCAAATGAATTTTTTTCTTCTTTTTGAATACCTGTAGGAGTCGTAAACTGTTGACTTTATCTGTACAAGCCAGTTCAATTTAATTAGGGTGCATTCTTTTTTTTGCGATAAACATTTGTATGCGCTGTTGTTTTACTTTTTGCATTTCAATTTTTACAGAGAACATTCATCCGTTCGTATCGAAAATACCAGCATTGAATGAATTGAGAACGAAAAATAATGTTTTTTTTACATTTTGATTTACGATAAAATAAAGTACACCATTCTTTCACTCTAATCGTCACCATTACTCATTATATTGAAGTATTTTTTACTATAAATAGAAATTCGGAATGTGAAATGTGTTCATTATCGATTTGTTGACTAAGTTTTTCGATATCTAAATAAACAAATTGGCATAATAACAAATCTATCTCGCCCTATGAACTAGGTTTACTTAATCCAATGTGCTAAATATTTAAAAAAAAAAAATGTGTGTTCTTATCAATAGCCTTACCTCAACTCAAGTCAATTCAATGCACGCCAATTGAATGTGATATTTGATTTTTAATATGTAAACAAACGGTAATTCGAATAATATGTAGATTTTTTTTGTTTTCGCGCACAAAACGTGATTCATGAATTCAATTTGATTATTAGACTTTGTAAATGTGCGCATTTAATTAGAATTGTTTTGAGTCAAGGAATTCATGTTGTTTTTGATACCCGCATTAAAATCAATTCACTGAAATCTCAGATTTTGCCCATGTCCTGTTTTATATTTATATAACTCATTTTTAATTCATATTTTAACAAACAATGTTCATAATATTGACACACAACTCATGTTATGATCCAATTTTCAATCACAATCACTCTTTGTATATATTCATTAAAATGATACATTTTTGTAAGCACACGGAACGTGACTAAGATGTAAATGTAAATGTTTTTATATACTGAACGTAATTTAATTCATCTATATTGCGTGGAACACCCAAATACAATGTCACAATAATATAAAACAAACATATCACAACAGATCGGCGTTTACAAAGTTTTATTTATAAATGATTTTGACGTGTTATTTAATAAGACACGCTTTTCATTTACCAAACTTTCTTCAATAAGAAAAATAAAATCAAAAATACTTTACAAATTTTGTGTATTTTTTAACTTTCTTTGATGACTTTCGTTTGAATGGGCGTTCTGCATCTATATTATTTATTTTGATTGTCATCATTTCGCTGTTTCAGATGGATGTCGAACATGCAAATTGTTGATAAACAAAAAGTCACTGCCGATTGCTTTGAGAGGGGGTTAAACAGCGACAACTTCACGCCGGTCGACTGTCTAATGTCATTTTTCAGCTGATTTAAAGATTCAATTTATGTCGTTACAAAGTCGATTTCAATTGAAATGTTTCTCTTTTGTTTCTATCCGATTGAATTTATAAATCTATTATGAATTTTGACTATTTGCTTCTCATGAACTTAATTTTGACCGGACTATGTAGTAGTAGTGATCATACCAAAATAGCCAAACATTTTTTTCACTTGGATCGGAGCCATATTCTGAAATGATTGACACTTTTAACATATTTGCAGGACTTTTTCCAAAACGGAAATAGATTGAGCAAACTAGAATATGCCACAGAATCTATGTAAGTTAGAAATGGTTTTTATCTTTTAAGCAATATAACAATGACTAAGAAATAAAAAATTTAGATACGAAATTATGATGTCATGTTGGAAATCCGATCCCGAGACACGCCCATTATTCAATAGTCTTGCAGAGACCATTTCCGATCTTATGACCTGATGATCGCGAGAAATTTATCAATTTAAATAAATCATTTATGGAATCAAATGCTGAAAAAGATAAACCTGAAGAAAGTGACATAAATTCACACTCATGCTCATGCTTTCATTCTCTCTTTTCTCCTAAAAAACGAAACAAAAAAACATTGAATTTGAGATGCCCATTTATGGTTCATTGCAGCCAATTGATGGTTCAAATTAAAACAAAACTACAGAAAATAAAGATCAAGTACTACACATTATCAGTGAAATTGTATTTTTTACTGCTTTTTCACTCAGTTATAACTGGCGATAGTTCTGTATGTTACTCTGTATTTACCAATGTTCGGAAATGTGATATATTCGCTGAGCTGAGCGCTCAGACATATAAATGCGAAAATTCGAATACTAAGTTTTGTAACCAATTAGGAGACCATCGTCGTAATAAACAATCAATTTCATTAGCATTTTCAATTATTTAAAAACCGTAATTTAATCGTATTGTTTTTTTAATAAAATAATTTTTTAAAAATTGTAATTATTCAATATTTTTGTTTTTATTTCTGTATTTCTTCAGTTAAATGTGGAATTGACGCCGTTTGGCCAAACGTTTGATTCGATCCAGTCCAAATAGTAAGACACTCTGGTAAAAATACTTGGTAGCCTGTCTGTTTCGCAGCCGGTACTAAACGAAACGATGCCGACAATTTTGGCTATTTTTGAATCAGAACGATAGATTTGAAGTGGTCCACCATTGTATCCTTGGCAGCTATCGCTTTTCATTCTCACATCACGTGCACAATACTGACTCTCACTGACCCCATTTCGAAAAGATGCACCATTTGGGTGTTGGTTATATTCAAAAATCGTACTATTACATTCCTCCAGTGGCAATGTTGTCATATTGGCCTTGAGCAGTACATTCGATCTATTACGTCCTATATTTTGAAATAAATGGCAAATTAACTTGATATTATAATATAATATTTTTGTTCAAACTTACGCGCTGTAGAAATCATTCCCCAACCGGTAACAATGAGATTTGCTTTTGGATTTATGTCACTTGAAAGTGTTTGTAAACAGGCTGGTCTGGAAAATTCTGAAAACTCGATGGATCGTGTGACTCGAATCAACGCAATGTCATTCTTCGATGATGTTGATGAATAGTTTGGGTGCCGTATGATTTGCTATTTAAAATGATTATGAGTAAATAAATAATAATTTCAACAATACGTAAGTGTTTATCATAAATCACCTCTATATTATGATTTTGGGGACTATTTGGATTCATCATGTCGTCGTCGATCAAATTTAACTGTTAGAAGTAAAAAAATACGAGTCAATCTTTAAAATTGTCTTTCTTAATCGAGATCAAAAGTTTTTCACTCACTCCAATTCGAACTACAGAGAGTTGACGTGCCAATGTTGTACAATGTGCTGCTGTCAGTATAAAAAAGTTTGATATAATTGTGCCTACACATTTAAAATTAATTTTATTTTTTTCATCGACGTAGCCCAAAGCAACCTTAACAAGAAATAAGTAGTAGAATATTAGCTGTCGTCAAAACGAATTATTTCAAATGGTTTACCATCCATGGAAATTCAGCAGCTTCTGCAGGATCGTCATTCAAAGTGTCGTCTGTTTGAAGATTTGAATACGAATCACAAGCTGTTTCGAAAAAAAGACGAATTTCAATTGAGTTTAGAATCAAGCATTCTCTTTGTGAATGCTTGTTTAGAATTTTATTTGGTAGTTACCATTTTGTGCAGTGAATGTTTTTCTAAGTAAATCAAGGATCTTTGAGTAACCTGAAAACAGTGGATTATTTACGTTACAAAGAAATATTGTTAATATTCAATTCATCTACCTTTTTCTCTAGCCAAGTTTCTAGCGGTTTGTTTCTTTTGGTTTGTGACTTTGCGATTTGCGCCATTACGAAGTAGAATTTCAACAACTTTGTCTTTGCCTGTGAATAAAACCAATGATTTCTTATTGAATTCAATTGAAATTCTTTTGAACACCACCTCAATGATTTTTGCTCTACTTGATTGATTTCGGTGTTTCAAAATTACCATTATGAGCAGCCATATGAAGCTAAAAAAAATGTTGATCAATAAGAAGAATCAGCAATATTAAAAGGAGCTTCTAGATATTCAAAAATTTGCAATAAAGAAAAATATATACCGGCGTATTTCCGTCTTTATTTAAACTGTTGACATTTGCCCCGTTGTGAATTAAAATTTCAACAATTTTCTCATAACCTGAATGAAAGGATTAATTTGTTTCAATTCACTTTGATCAATTTATTTTGTGTTTTTTTTTTTTAAATTGCCTTTGACAGCTGCTAAATGCAACGGCGTCGGTGTATCCATCAATTGTCCATTTACAACATTGACACTTGCCCCATTGTAAGCTAACAGTTCGACCATTTTATCATCACCTATAAGATTGTTGACGAGTTAAAAAAATAATGTATGTTTGGTTCTCTTCATGCGCAGACGTTGTATGTCTCGACGATCGATTTACACGATACTGGCCGGTATCCGAAGCCAAATTCTTTTGGCAATCACAAAATAGATTAGTTTTATTTAAATTACCTCCAGAAATAACTGAAAATAAAGGACTGTACCCTTCTTTGTCCACAAAGTTTACACTTGCACCATTATGAATTAATAGTTCGACAATTTTTTCATAACCTAAATGAAAGAATAAATTTATTTCATTTATTTAGAATTGTAAGGTCTTGTCTTATTTCAATTACCATTCACAGCAGCCACATATAATGGTGTATACCTGTAGAGAATAAAGGTTAAACAACTGAATATAACAACTGAAAATGTGTGTACCCCAGTTTGTTCACAGCGTTGACACTTGCACCATTGCGTAATAATAATTCAACAACCGTCGGCAAATCTAAATGAAAGGATTCATTTATTTCACTTCTTGTAGTTGATTTTACTTTATTTCAATTACCATTCGATGCTGCAATATGCAATGGTATGTTCCCATCTTCATTTGCAATGTTGACATCCGCTCCATCGTCAATGAGATCTTGAATGATGTTTTCGTTTCCTGCATTGAATTACTACTACTATTAGTTTCAACTCAATATAATGTACTTTAATAATTAATAATTATTGTGATTTTTGTATTGTAGAGAATTTAAAGATTTAAAAATAATCATCCAAATTCGAGGAATTTATTGTTTCCTAAAAAAATTCAGCATTCAAATTTAGTGTGTTTAACTCAGAAAAATGCCACGTATAAATTGTAGAGTGAAAAAACAACTATAATTAACAATTCACATTACAAAATACCATTTTTAATCGCGGTGATTATTGGGGCATCTTGGCGCCTCGCATTGATTTGTCGCCCTAAAATACAAAGAATATTGAAAACTGCACTCAAGAAAAATCACTGAACTGTTTTACCTGGAAGAGCACTAATCAACCATAAGAATATGGAAATGCGCATTTCAATTTTGTTAGCAAATAGAAGAAAAAATCACAAATTTTAGATAGTGCAAAGCAGGTTTTGTAAGTGCCTGACGCCTAACACGTCAAATAAAGTTATCTAATTGACTTCAGTAAAGAAATAAAAGACGTGCGGATCAAGTGAATGTTTGTATTGAACTGAAGCTCGTAGGGCTGTACAATATTATCGTTTCTCAATAAAGACAAACTTTCTCTTTGTTGAATGGTCATTTTTCAACATACAGTTGAGGCGCACGTATAGCACAACAATTATAAACGCGTTAAACCTAGGGGGTAGACACCAATTCAAAATGAAAAATCTATGTTAAAATAC